GACAAGCGTAGGGCGAGGACCCGTCCATCGCCGCTTGCGGCTTTAATTTATTTTTCATCTGTTATTGTCTTTTTAGAGAAATTAAACGCTTTTATCAGTTTGCATTCAGGCTGTTTTCAGTAGGACAGGTGTGTGTGTTACATAAGAATCCAAGAATAGGGCTCGTATGGAAATGATCCAGGTCCATATATGCAGTTTTATCTCTCGTAAGCTTTTTGTCTTTGGAAGGTGAAACTCAGCATTTCTGACACTGTGTGGAAAAACTTACACCAGAAATGAAACTTACAGAACTCTCTGTTAAAAGAGTTGTGCTTCTGTTTGAGAGAGATGTCGGACAGATTCTACTGTTCTTCCTACAGCAACAGATTTTGATTTACCAGCGACTCAGGAAAGTATTTGTTTTATTTCTTAAGGTCATACAGTTCATAGCAGTTTCCCCACAAAAGCATATAGAAAAAATAATGCCTGCGTTTAGTCTCACTTTGCAACACAGATCTACCTCCTATACATATTGGAGGCCAGTTTGAAGATGCTCCTGCTGTAGTCACAGTTTTTTTTTTGGTATAAAACACTCAAGTTTTTCCAATTTTTCATTTTGTTTTGGCCTATATAACAGCAGAATTATGCTAGAAACTCAGCAGTGTCTTATGGTATTTTCCACTCTGCGTTAGATTCAGTCTAAACACATGTTCACGGCACACGTGTTTTGGAGAACGCTACACGAAACAGCTCATGCATCCTTCATAACCTGATTGAAAACTGCATTATCACTGATTTCTCACATTTTCTCTCCCTGGTTTGATCTAGAACAGAGACAGCAGACAGACCATAAATTACGTTGACGAGAATCTGATTTGTTTTGTCTCCCACTGCTGCCAAAATCAGTCTTCTGGCAGCTCAGAGTATCAAATTCTGTGCAGTAAACAAGCTGTTTGTGTGTCTGTATGACGCCTGTTTACATAACCCAGATATCTGGAGTGGAACCGACGAGCGTGCCGCAATCTCGAGCACGTTGGAGCGCGACACTTGAATACTGTTGGGCTTTTAATGAAAAGGAAATTATACAACTGCGAGGATGTAACGGCGGCATGTGAGTGCAGCCCGTTTAATAAAAGAGAATCACTACATACCAGGGGCAGTGGTGATCCATCTTCAGGATGCATCTGTAACGCAGCAGGGTCAGACGTCAGTGTAATTGAATCTTACTCTGTCTGCCAGAATGCAATATATTGTGTGGTCTGTTCTGTATAGGTGCACGAGCAGAGAGCCGTACTTATCACAGACTGAACAATGGTGACATCGATCAGGCTTCAGCAGCTGGCAGCGGTCGCAGAAACGGATTGCTGAGGAGACACAACCAATTCAATCACACAGCCGTCTGCAGCAGCAGCAGCAGCAGCAGCAGCCTCTCCTGACTCTTGACCACAGACTAACAAGGTGACAGCGTTTGAAATGAGCCCTGAGAGCCGCATGTCAGTCCAGACTGTTCCAGTTGTTCTGCATCAGCAGCACCGTCTACTGTACTGTACCTCCAGAGTTGGTGCGGGTGTAGATGGGCAGATCCTTGGCTATCCTCCTCAGGATCTCCTGCTGAGACTCTCCCCGATCTTCACGCTCCAGCAGCTCCTTGTCAGAGTGGGACAGGTGGAACTATGTAGGCCAGAACACGGAGGGAAAGTCAAACAACACCTGTGATTTATCAATGGCTCAATCTCTGATCACTGCTGTTTACCATAGCTGTGAAACTGTCAAAACACATTCAATTATTGTGCCCGGTCAGCTGCATGCTGTGTGAGAATCAGTAATGCAGGATTGTCTGTTAAAGAAGGCAGTCAGTGAAGGGTGTCTCTGCTTCTTCCATTTGTTTTGGCTCTTTCTGCCCCAGCAGGCAAATCGGAGCAAAGTAGCGCAGAGCTGCGATATTACTTTCAGCTGCTGAGGCGTTTTATGATTGAACGCTGGAAACAAATAACTGTGACGATAACAAACGGCGCAGCACGCGTGAAGTTTTATTACAATCTCCCAAAACCTCAAGTGATCCAGAGATCACATCTCATAAAGGAAAGCCTTCACGCGAGCTGATGGCCGCCTGCGTGCGTGCGTCGCCTCGGTGGGAATTGAAATGCAAAGGTGGCTTTTCTGTGACTCGCACGCATGTGTCGGCCCTGCAGAGCTGAAGTGCTGTGGTCAGGATCAGAGGCATTAAAGTGCAGCTCCAGGCAGCAGCCGACTCCACTGCGTCACAGTCAGACACACTCACCTCCTTCAGGGGGTTCATAGGCCTGGTGAAGATGGTTTGCCAGTACGCCCACACAAACATGATGAAAATGACATGGTAGGCCAGCAAGTACACGACTGCAAGCAGAAAGAACAGTAAAGCACATCAGCGCTTGTTCACAGTTTGGAGCTTCGCTGAATATCAATAACGTTGGTGTGATTCAAAGTCAGTTCTTTTCTTGCTCTCAGGAAAATAATTATTATATTTAAATCTGTATTGAATAATTAGCTTCCACTGTAGTTTATGCACAATGTTACAGTGTGAAAATCCAGAGAGTGAAAAAGAAATCAGACTAGATGCACAAGTTGGACACAGTGGGTGTGAATTTTTTTAACTGATTTGTCCACAGTTATGTTAAAGCCCCCACCAGTCAAAATCAGGTGTTTTTTTTTTTACATGTTGACATAGTAAATATGATATTTATATATTTTGGAAGACACACTGTTAGTGACATAAGCAGTCAACACCAGAACTGAGTATTTCATTCTTGAAACTGCAGCATATTTACGACAGGATGGAGCTTTCTGTGTCATTGTCCCTCTTCAGAATCAGTTTCTAGGTCGACCATGTATGGGTTCATTAGTTCCATATCATAGTTTGCTGTTGTTTAGTGTAAAATACGGTATTTGAGCAGAGTTATAGGTGAGCTGGAAGGTGGAGGCAGAAACTCTTAGTTACATCTAAGCTATTTCAAGTCTGATTTAAATGAAGTATGTAACTTAGATACACAGAGAGACAAGTTTTAGGTGTTTAATCAGCAACTAATTAAAACTGTTGAATCTGCATTCTTCTTGGTTTAGTTTGTCCTTTAAATCCTCATTTTGGAAGACAATGTTCACATCTAGTTCATCGAGTAAAAAAAAATGTATTTAGTAAGAAGCAAGTTGACCATCATTAAATAAATTCAAGTAATAATTAAACTCTTTTCTGATCATGATAAGTAATTTTACATAATCCATTTCAATTTTCAGTTTACCTGATAAGGAATTAATGTGCCTCGGCTTTATTTATAGACCAGACGCTCACGGTGAAATTGTTGAAACATCCTGAAGCAGCAGGTATAATGTTTACTGCATTCATCTCAGTGGAGCTCGTTAGCTGCAAGTAATAGACTGATTAATTGACTAATCGCCATTTTCAGATAATCAGCTTTGGCTGATTATCAGGGAGACACTAACAGGAGCTACGCTGGCTATAAACTGGTCACTG